ATGATGTTTTTGGTTGGAAACTAATTGATGATGTATTTCATAGAGCATGGTAACTGATGCAAGATTTCTTCTTTGTTGTTGTGTTGGCCAGCTTAGATGCTTAAGCATGGCACTTACACTACTTTGGTAGTTGTATTCATGAAAAATGTACACATGGTACATGTACATGTATAGAGAACCTTGCAGTTCTAGATCATATTGATTTTATTTTATTTTTTGTTTCTGCCAGGGATCCCAGATAGCACTATTAAAATTCTAATTTTGGTCTGACATGTTTTAAAAGCTAGTTGGATTCTTTAATTTTAATGCTGTCGGTACTTTTCCTTCCTTTTTATACGACAACAAAAAAATTGTGGTCGCATATTGGTATGACATTGCCGTCGTTTTCGTCATCGTCCGAAGACACATTGGTTTTCGCACAATAACTTAAGTTTAAGTAAATGGATCTCTATGAAATTTTACCATAAGGTTCAATACCATAAAAGGAAGGTTTGGATTGATTTTGGGGGTTATGGTACCAATAGTTAAGGAATTAGGGGCCAAAAATAAGCATTTTTGTAACTTCCAGACAATAACTTGTGTGTTAGTGTATGGATCTCTCTGACATTGTACCACAAGGTTCCATATCAGAAAGGGAATGCTGGGATTGATTTTGGGGGTAATTGCCTTAAAATTTTAGGAATTAGGGGCCAAAAAGGGGCAAAAAACAAGCATTTTTCTAGTTTCATGACAATAACTTGTGTGTAAGTTCATGGATCTTTCTGAAATTGTACTACAAGGTTCCATATCACAAAGGGAAAGCTGGAATTGAGTTTGGGGGTAATTGCCCAAAATGTTTAGGAATAAGGGGCCAAAAAATAAGCTATTTTATAGTATCCAGACAATAACTTGTGCTCAAGTGTATGGATCTCTCTGAAATTGTACTGCAAGATACCATATCACAAAGGGAAGGCTGGGATTGATTTTGGGGGTAATTGCCTCAAAATTTTAGGAATAAGGGGCCAAAAAGGGACAAAAAACAAGCATTTTTCTAGTTTCATGACAATAACTTGTGTGTAAGTGTATGGATCCTTATGAAATTGTACTACAAGGTTCCAAATCACAAAGGGAAAGCTGGGTTTGATTTTTGGGGTAATTGCCCTAAATGTTTAGGAATTTTGGGCCAAAAAGGGGCCAAAAAACAAGCATTTTTCTATGTCCAGACAATAATTTGTGTTCAAGTGTATGGATCTCTCTGAAATTGTACTGCAAGGTACCATACCTCAAAAGGAAGGCTGGGATTGAGTTTGGGGTGATGAATCAAAAGGGGGTTAAAAAAATTTAGGGGGGGATTTTTTTTCCTTTTTTTTTCCCCTTGTTTTCCTTTTTTTTTTCTTTAAAATTTTCCATTTTAAGTTGGTTATTTCTGATTTATATATAAAAGCAAATAATAATGATATGGTTTGAATAGGTAAATTAAAATTTTTTAAGTTCTTAGACCACATTCATTCTGTGTCAGAAACCTATGCTGTGTCGAATATTTAATCAAAATCCAAATTCAAAGCTGTATCAAGCTTGAATGTTGTGTCCATACTTGCCCCAACTGTTCAGGGTTCGACCTCTGTGGTCGTATCAAGCTGCGACTAGCGGAGCATTTTATTATAAATTGGAATGATACATTTGCTTTATTTGTGAGGTTACTAATCAGTGTGCTATGATCTTTTTATCACACTTTAAACAAATGCCTAATCAAATAGAAAACATTGAACAATTCTCTGGCAAGAGACGTACATGCTTTGTTGCCTCCACTGGAATATTCTTACTACTTAAAAGTTCCCCAACAGTATCAAACTATAGTCCTTTGAAAAAATGATAATGTCAATGTCAGATATTCTTTTTAGTGTTAGTGTTTTCAATTTTTAATTATTCTGCTGTCATTTTGCTTGACATTGACAAAACAAGCATATTCTTTATCAGCCATTGCTGTTAGGAACGATTATAAGGTCATTAAGAACAGAGTAAAATATGAAGATATTTGACGGGGCAGAAACATGTTAAATCTGTGTTGATTAAATACACATGCAAATCCCAATGTTTTCTTAATGAAAATGTGATAAAATCTGTTATTGTTTTTGTAAATTGTGTGTTTTAAATGCATGAATGTCTTGTAAGTATCTGATATTGTATGTATTGTGTGTATTCATTTGTATTGTACATGTACAATGATGTATGACATAAATGTAATCGTAGGTTTAAAAGCTTTTGAGAGCTTATGTTTTAGATAAAAATAAGGATATGTGTTGTGAACCCCAATAAGACAACTATATACCAGAGTCCAAATGAAATGGACGTTCATGATATCAAATATAGATCACTGTATGACCTTCAACAATTAGAAAAACCCTCATTGGCAATCATATAGAATCTCTTACTTTTTAATTATGATAGGATGGATCCATATTTACTAAAAGATCACAATTAAACTTATGCCTCTGTTGATGTATCTGTAATATTTTAGTCTTATAGAGATTTTGAGTTGACATATTGTATAAGCACAGGTCTACATTTTGACCTATCGATATGTTAGCCTCTAGAATTCTTTTGGTTATTTGTGTCATTGGGTGACTGTTTCCCCTGTCTCTTTATAATCATTTTTGTTGAGCCTGCGACTTTTGTCGCTAAAGCAAGACATAGCGATCCTACATTCCGTCAGCGGTGGCGTCCACAAATATTCACTCTGTGGTTAAAGTTTTTGAAATTTTAATAACTTTCTTAAACTATCCTGGATTTCTACCAAACTTGGACAGAAGCTTGTTTATGATCATAAGATAGTATCCAGAAGTAAATTTTGTAAAAAAAATCCTGTTTATCCGTATTTTACTTATAAATGGACTTAGTTTTTCTGCCAGATAACATTACATTCACTCTGTGGTTAAAGTTTTTAAAATTTTAATAACTTTATTAAACTATCCTGGATTTGGACAGAAGCTTGTTTATGATTAAAAGCTAGTATCTAAAAGGAAATTTTGTAAAAATTTATTTCCTGTTTTTCTGTATATTACTTATAAATGGACTTAGTTTTTCTTCCAGTTAACATTACATACAGTCTGCAGTTAAAGTTTTTAAAACATTTATTAGATTCATAAACCATCCTGGATTTTTACTAAACTTGGATAGAAGCTTCTTACAATCAAAAGATAGTATCTAAAGGAAAATTTTGAATAATTTTTCCCCATTTTTGTTGAGCCTGCGACTAACAGCAAAAGTAGGCGAGACACTGGGTTCCTTGGAACCCTTACAAATTTTTAATTAAAAGTGCACTCTCAGTAAAGTTCTGATTAAACTGATAAGAAATCAGCACATAACAAAGATAGGGTGGGTTGACTGAAAACAACAATCACTTTTTTGGTTCACAAATTGAATCACATTTTGAAATGAAATACAATGTATCTCAACATTTAACAATATATATGGCATACAATTTAGGACTAGGAGTAGATATTAGATGCAAACTATAATACAGTTATATTATTATTATTATCATATGAAAGGCATCTGTTAAGCTTCACCCGTCTTATCCCCTGTGTAAATAATTTAAACTTCTTAAACCAGGATAAAATAAGGTATATTGAAGACCCATTGATGGCCTTCGGCTGTTGTCTGCTCTATGGTGGGGTTGTTGTCTCTTTGACACATTCCCCATTTCCATTCTCAATTTTACATGCATATATGCATAATTTCAACCACTTTAGTTTTACATTTTTACCATATCATGTCTTGAAACACCAGCTGTGGTCTATTTATTAGGATTGATTTTTACAACACAGCTTCTGTAGATCCCTCATTTAATTAATAAATATTATGTTTTTAATAATCCAGAGAGAGGGCATTAAACTGTTAAATATAAAATATAAAGTGCCTAGTCAATTGAATAATTCATATAGACATAAATAACATACATATCTCTTCATATTCATCAAGATGACAGACATTAAGGGTAAGTAAATGGTATAATTTAGGTTAGAACGGTTTTGTACAGGTTAGAGTTATGGATAATAATGCAATCAGCATTGTTTAATTAGTTTTTTTTATTGTCTATATCCTATCAATGAAACCATGCATGACTCCAATAATATGAATCAATCACTGTTGATGACTATAAATCATTGAAAGTATTAGCAATGACAAAAGTTTTGTGTATTTTTCTTTTTCCCTGGATGGAGAATGTAAGTATTTTCCTGATAGAGTTTTTCACCAAAAAATCTTACTATTGAAATGACGTGACTCTCTCATATACTATTATATAAATGTATTGTAACTAGCAACCAATTTCTATTGTACAATTTTTATGAAAAGAGCTGCTGAATAAATATGCCTTTTTAATGTATTTAATCTGCAAGAAGACTAATTCTGAGATTCCAAAACGTTTTTTTCTTAAAATAATGTAAACTAAATATCTTCAAGCAAGTTATGTATTGACTTTTCTTGGTTACATACATGACAGTGATTAAAAAAATATGTGAATAAATATATTTATCGCTATTTTCTAAAGTTTTGCTTTGATCATTTTTTTTTTGGTGATAATTTTTCATATGCTACTCAAATAATATGGGATTTTCTCAGTCGAGTAGAAAGGGAATGTATGACCTAATGAGCCTACGTAATTGACATTGCCTAGCTATATATAGAAAACAGCAATAAACAGATTATCAATGGTCGTTCAAACTCGAGGATGTTTCTCTGCTATATCTCATCTCATGTCACCCTTCGATGAGATTGTAGCTCAGAAACACCTTCTCGTTTGAAAAACCATTAATAACCTATAAATATAATTCATCGCAAATACATTGAATATGTCAAACTTACAAAAAAATTGCCAAAGTATTTCCCTGTAAATTTGGTTAGTAATGACAAAATGCAAAAAAGTGTCAATGAAAATATGTTGGTTTACAGTGATATAAAATGACAACTGCTTTTGTAGAATTACATGTAGTAAAACAAGAATTATTGTTTTATTTCAGGGGAGATAGTTCAGTGACAACCCTTCTCAAATAGGTTTGAAATGTATTGTGAAGGCTGAAATGGATAAGAAAGGGTATGAATTACGACAAAGAAAGAACCCTCCCACCAAAACCCAACATCCCTCTGTTGAAAATTCAGTATCACATAAAACTCCAAAGATGGAAGTTGATTTAGGAACGATTCAAATGAAAGATATTTTGAAGCAAGATAATGGAACAGTTAATACAGCCTTTTCTGATGAGGATGAAGAGAACACACTTTTTGATCAGACACCGCTGTTATCTCGAGATGAAATCTGTGCATCACCAGATGTATTGATTGAAGAAGACACCAGGGAGGTCAAAGTTGACGAGAGCTGGTGGACAATCGGTCTTCAAGTGTTCTTTCCATTCATCATAGCAGGTTTTGGTACTGTAGGTGCTGGAATGGTGCTAGATATAGTTCAGGTAAATACTGTAGGTGCAGGAATGGTGCTAGATATAGTTCAGGTAAATACTGTAGGTGCTGGAATGGTGCTAGATATAGTTTAGGTAAATACTGTAGGTGCTTGAATGGTGCTAGATATAGTTCAGGTAAATACTGTAGGTGCAGGAATGGTGCTAGATATAGTTCAGTTATATACTGTAGGTGCAGGAATGGTGCTAGATATAGTTCAGGTTAATACTGTAGGTGCTGGAATGGTGCTAGATATTGTTCATGAAATGCACTCAAAATCTTATGGCTGACTCAGAGGAGGGACGAGAGCCTAGGTGCTGTGTGCAAAATTTTTCAGGTCACATGGTACGATTTCAGCTTTCGTTTGGAAATTTTAAATATTGAAAAAGATCAATTTGTTCATGTTTTGATATCAAATGTATTCTATTGCATTCATAAAAAATATAGCATCTTTTCTCCTAGAAAGATTTATTGATGATAGAAAATGTCTTTTTACTTCTTTTTGGTAAATTATATCAATAAAGATTATGTCCCATAATGGCGGGAATTTGTATTCGATCTCTGTAAAAATACAAGGCACAAATTTTGTTAATATTACGTAAGTTTGCATGTAATATCATTGACATTTATAGCAGTTACAGAATATTGTTCATACAACCTTGAACATAAAAGGTATTCTTAAGTCTCCATCCGTTGCTGCATAGTAAGTTGATAAAAAACGATGTTTTTCAAATAAAATGTCCAAATATAATATGTCAAATCTGTGAATAAATATGTAAACATTAGGCACAAAAACCATTGTTTTGTGTATTTCAATTATATTATAGACAAAATGAAAATTTTTCACCAGAAAACCATGTAAAATAGCTTTTTCGTCCCCTACCGACGAAGTCGAAAGGGACTCAGGTTTGCACTCCGTCTGTCTGTCTGTCTGTCTGTCTGTCTGTCTGTCTGTCTGTCCGTCAGTCAGGCAAATCAGTTTTCCACACCTTTTTTCGTCATGCTTGAAGATATTGATTTGATATTTGGTGTATTGTTTTATCATGACAAGTTACAGATCAAGTTTGAATTTTGTTCCTGTCTGACGATTTTGTGCAGAGTTGTAGTCCTTGAACTTAGAAAATTCACTCAAATAATCAGTTTTCCGCATTTTTTTTTTTGTCATGCTTGAAGATATTGACTTGATGATTGGTATATATTTTTATCATGACAAGTTACAGATCAATTTCGAACTGTGTTCCGGTCTAATGATTTTGTGCAGAGTTATGGTCCTTGAACTTAGAAAATTCACTCAAATAATCAGTTTTCCTCACTTTTTAGCTCAAGTGAGCTTTTCTCATCACTTGGCATCCATCGTCCTTCGTCCGTCGTCGTCGTCCGTTAACTTTTACAAAAATCTTCTCCTCTGAAACTACTAGGCCAAATTAAACCAAACTTGGCCACAATCATCATTAGGGTATCTAGTTCAAAAAATGTGTCCGATGACCCCGCCTGCCAACCAACATGGCCGACATGGCTAAAAATAGAACATAGGGGTAAAATGCAGTTTTTGGCTTATATCTCTGAAACCAAAGCATTTAGAGCAAATCTGACATGGGTAAAATTGTTTATCAGGTCAAGATCTATCTGCTCTGAAATTTTCAGATGAATCTGACAACCCGTTGTTGGGTTGCTGCCCCTGAATTGGTAATTTTAAGGAAATTTTGCCGTTTTTGGTTATTATCTTGAATATTATTATAGATAGAGATAAATTGTAAACAGCAATAATGTTCAGCAGAGTAAGATCTACAAATAAGTTTACTTGACCAAAATGGTCAGTTGACCCCTTAAGGAGTTATTGCCCTTTATAGTCAATTTTTATCCATTTTTCGTAAATTTTTGTAATCTTTTACAAAAATCTTCTCCTCTGAAACTACGAAGACAAATTTAACCAAACTTGTCCACAATCATCATTAGGGTATCTAGTTTAAAAAACGTGTCTGATGACCCCGCCGCGAACCAAGATGGCTGACATGGCTAAAAAATAGTACATAGGGTAAAATGCAGTTTTTGGCTCATATCTCTGAAACCAAAGCATTTAGAGCAATTCTGACAGGATAAAATTGTTCATTAGGTTAAGATCTATCTGCCCTGAAATTTTCAGACCAATCAGGCAACACATAGTTGGGTTGCTGCTCCTGAATCGGTAATTTTAAGAAAATTTTGCAGCTTTTGGTTATTACATTGAATATTATTATAGATAGAGATAAACTGTAAACAGCAATAATGTACAGCAAAGTAAGATCTACAAATAAGTCAACATGACCAAAATTGTCAGTTGACCCTTACACATGCCTTAAGAAGTTATTGCCCTTTATAGTAAATTTTTTACAATTTTCATAAATTTTGTAAATTTTTGTAAATTTTTACAAAATATTTTCCACTGTAACTACTGGGCCAAGTTCATTATAGATAGAGATAATTGTAAGCAGCAAGAATGTTCAGTAAAGTAAGATCTACAAATACATCACCATCATCAAAACACAATTTTGTCATGAATCCATCTGTGTCCTTTGTTTAATATGCACATAGACCAAGGTGAGCGACACAGGCTCTTTAGAGCCTCTTGTTTTTGTCATGCTTGAAGATATTGATTTGATAATTGGTATATAGTTTTATCATGACAAATTACAGATGAGATTTGAATTTTGTTCCGGTCTGATGATTTTGTGCAGAGTTATGGTCCTTGGACTTAGAAAATTCATTCGAATACTGTAAATTCAGAAATTATTGCGAGGTTTTTATTAATGCGAATATTGCGACTGAATGAGTATCGCAAAAATAAAAACTCGCATTCTTATATCTGATACATATAACTGTATGTAGATTTTTCTGAAATCGCAATAATTAATCTCGCATTTTAGTCCATTCTTCAAAATTCGCAATAATAAATGCACGCAATAATTTCTGAATTTACAGTAATCAATTTTCCACATTTTTTTTCGTCATTCTTGAAGATATTGACTTGAAATTTGTTATATAGTTTACAACTTGACAAGTTATAGATCAATTTAGCATTTTGTTCCAGTACAATGAATTTTTAACCGGTAGGGGACTATGTATTGCTGGGCAATACTCACAGAATGCTTGTTAATTTTGTATTTTTTGTGTATTGGTCGGCTTGGGTTGTCTATTGTGTTTTCTTGGGGTTTTTTTGTACTGATAAATGATGAAATTTCAATATTGATAATTTGTATTTAATAAAATTTTGTCCCGAAATAAAAACTGATATCAATTAAATGAATTCAATAAATGAGTATTCAATTAATGGACATGCCGTACAAAATAAGTCCACGGGAATTAGCAGTTTATTAAAGGGAGAAATATGTATATTCCCAGCAAATAATGACAAATACCAAATTCGTTTATTATATATACATGTAGGAATATTGTATAATAATTACAACTGTATATTATTGCTTTAAATTTATAATCTCATTCAACAAATTTCGAGTGTCAAGGTGATTTTCACACCATGATGTGCTTGTAACAAATGACATATTATCATCGCGACTGATCAATAATATGACAAATCTGCATGCCGTGTGCAGAGTGTTGTTCCTCCTCTAGTACTGACTTGATGTCTATATCTTCCAAGGTTGATCGCTGCCTTTGATCAATGTTGATAGTTGAAACAGAATAGTGCAGTGAAGTGATCATTATTTAGATGCTATCAAGTCAATGTCATGCAATTTATTATACCCCACGCAATTTTTGCATGGGGTATAATGTTTTTGACCCGTCTGTCTGTCTGTCTGTCTGTCTGTCTGTCTGTCTGTCTGTCTGTCTGTCTGTCTGTCAGAAACAGAATTTCAAGAAACTTTATAGATAATAAGGATATACTATGTAGATGTGCCTATCGACAGGAAATTATGATTCAATTTTTTTCTTGGAGTTATGCCCCTTTGCACTTATGTGGGGACGTGGTGTATGTGAGCATGATCACAAAGGTTCTTTAATTGATGGTATGTTATACTTTGATATTTAAGTTACAATATGGTGTGTATTTGAATTACCATACTTTTCAAGAAAACATTTTTTTTATTAAAAATTACATAAAGTAATGCTTGGTGTATGAATCTGTACAATCATGAACAAAAGAAGATAACTCCAACTCAAATTTTTAACTTGCCTAGCATAATACAATTCAATGTTCTATTTAAAAATTCATGAAATTGCAAAATGAAAGCAACCTTTACCGTTCAGTACTCACAAGCACTTTGATTTAGTAATATAATCATGATTATGAAAATGAAATAAAACTGTTTATCTTCAGTGTCATATAATTTTTATCAAAAATCAATAAATGATCCCTATGTTTAAACATAGAAATACTCCCAAAAGCAACCATTCACAAGTAAATTTAGGGAGACAATCTTGTTTTATCAACAGAAAAATAGAACTAATTATCTTTCTGAATTTAATGCAAGAGTGATATATCAAATTTTTATGCCCACGTCGTAGTGGAGGGGGCATTAAGTTTTACCCTTGTCCGTCTGTACGTCCGTCCATACGTCCCGAAGTTGGTTAACATTCTCTAATTTTAGTTTGCCTCAACCAAATGTTATGAAACTTATATACAATGCTTATTACCACACAATACAGATCAAGTTCGAAATTGGGTGGCGTCACTTTTACTGTTCTTGAGTTATGCTCCTTTATAAACATAAAAAATGCTGAATTTTTCGTTTCCGTTCTCTTACTTTAGTTTGCCTCAACCAAATGTTATGAATCTTATACACAATGCTTATTACCACAAAATACAGAAGAAGTTTGAATTTTGGTTGTGTCACTTTTACCGTTCTAGAGTTATGTCTGTTTACAAATGGAAAATTGCTGAATTTTTCGTTTCTGTTCTCTTACTTAAGTTAGCCTCAACCAAATGTTATGAGACTTATACACAAGTACAAATTTGGGTAGCGTCCCTTTTACCGTTCTTCAGTTATGTCCCTTTATAACTTTATATTATATGTAAGCAGGGGCATCATCTGTGTACATGGGACACATTTCCCATTTATTTTTTATTCATCATGATACCTGAAAATATGATTTGACATTATGCACACATCTCTTCCAGTCTTTTCATCAGTGATTTCGATTACTTTGATTGTCAGAAGTACGTTAGAAGAAGTACACTTTTTTTCTGAGAATTTCCTGAGTTGAAAATTAAATTACAAAAATACCGAACTCCAAGGAAAATTCAAAATGAAAAAAAGGGTACTTTTGAAAAAGAAAAATAGCACTGGTAAAGTTTTTGGTGAAATAATAATGACAGAGGGCAGTTGGAAAAAGCAATGAGTTGTAATTACAGTATATTGTATTCCAGTAACACAAGATCTGTGTTGTAATGTAATATACGTATTGTTAGATGAACTTTTCGGTATATTGTTGTTTGTACAAAATAAAAATCATATTAAATCTTGCTTGCATTAAAAATTTATTTGAATTATATTGTATAAAAAACGTAGCATATGAAATATGTTGCATTAAAATCTGTGTATTGGTTTTAAATAAACAATGTTTATTTTCTATTTTCAGCATTGGGATGTATACACAAAAGTTTCTGAGATTTTTATTTTAGTTCCGTCTCTCCTTGGTTTAAAAGGCAACTTAGAAATGACATTAGCATCTAGACTATCTACGCAGGTACAATGTTATAGATTAAGTCATTTAAAATTTATAATTTTACAAATGTTCTACATTTGTACATGAAATCAAGTCTAGAAGTCTTGCTTCAATTCTTGACAAATATGTCCACATGATTTCTTTTCTTGTCTAGTTGTTTGGCTAAAAGATATGATTTGTCAATGATTAAAGTTTAAATCATAGTCTTTTTATAGTTTGGATTTAATATGTTTTAAGACAACTGCAGCATAATTTGTTATCCATCTGGATAACTTTACAAGCTAGTCAGAAGGTGTTGGTTCACTTGACTTATATATTTTTAAATATAGTTGTTAAGGATGTATTCTTCTGACTTTTCAGTCTTGTTGAAATCTTGTTCTGGAATTATTTCCAAAACGTGATACAAGTGGAAAATATCAATGAATTTAAAAAATATTATAATCAAACTTAACTCTGTGAAAAAAGTGTGTATTTACAATAAGTAGTTTTTGAGTAATAAAATTTTCAAATTTTATAACCATTCAAGTCAGTCTCTTTAGCCAAAATGTTGTGAAAATGGGTGAGGGGTATAAGAAATGATTTTACCAGAAACATGTACATCCCATATCAGTTTTTTCTTTTCAAATTTCTTAGATATGTATTTTTTCAATCATTTATAACAAAGAAGTTGAAATAATATGCTTTTTGTTCTAAAAAAAGAGAAAAATCCCAAATTTACAAAATTGACAGCATAGGAAATTTGACACGGAAAAGCAACAAAATTTTATAAAACATTCTTATATTAACACCTGCCTATAGTTTTTTTTATACGACCGCAAAAATTAAAAATTTTTTGGTCGTATATTGGTATGACGTTGGCGTCGTCGTCGTCGTCGTCGTCGTCGGCGTCGTCGTCCGGCGTCGTCCGAAGACACATTGGTTTTCGCACTCTAACTTTAGTTTAAGTGAATGGATCTCCATGAAATTTTACCATAAGGTTCAATACCACGAAAGAAAGGTTGGGATTGATTTTTGGGGTTATGGTACCAACAGTTAATGAATTAGGGGCCAAAAAGGGGCCAAAAATAAGCATTTTTGTAACTTCCAGACAATAACTTGTGTGTAAGTGTATGGATCTCTCTGACATTGTACCACAAGGTTCCATATCACAAAGGGAAGGCTGTAATTGATTTTGGGGGTAATTGCCTCAAAATGTTAGGAATTAGGGGCCAAAAAAGGGGCAAAAAACAAGCATTTTTCTAGTTTCATGACAATAACTTGTGTGTAAGTGTTTGGATATTTCTGAAATTGTACTACAAGGTTCCATATCACAAAGGGAAAGCTGGAATTGAGTTTGGGGGTAATTGCCCGAAACGTGTAGGAATTGGGGGCCAAAAAGGGGCCAAAAATAAGCATTTTTCTAGTTTCCAGACAATAACTTGTGTTCAAGTGTATGGATCTCTCTGAAATTGTTCTGCAAGGTACCATACCACAAAGGGAAGGCTGAGATTGAGTTTGGGGATGATGAATCATAAGGGGGTTCAAAAAATTTTGGGGGGGGATTTTTTTTTTTCTTTTTTTTTTCTTTTTTTCCTTTTTTTTTTCTTTTAAAATTTAAAATTTTAAGTTGGTTATTTCTGATTTATATTTAAAAGCAAATAATAATGATATGGTAGGAGATACACACCAAACAGGATGTGTAAATTATTATATAATAAGTATTGTGCAATAGCAAGATATTTTCAATTGCACAGTATTGCACAATAGCAAGAAATCTTCAATTGCACAGTATTGCGCAATAGCAAGAAATCTTCAATTGCACAGTATTGCGCAATAGCAAGAAATATCCAATAGCACAATATTGCGCAATAGCAAGAAATTGTCAATTGTACAGTATTGCGCAATAGCAAGAAATAATCAATTGCACAGTATTGTGCAAAAGAAGATACTTCGTATAAATTGCTTATTTTCTTGATCAATTTCAATGGGGTTTTATTCTTGAATTCTTGGGGTTCTTTAATATGCTGAATCTAACCGTGTATTAAGTTTTTGGATTTTGGGCCCCGTTTTTAAATTGGTCCACATTGAGGTCCAAAAGGTCCAAAATTTAACTTTGTTTGATTTCATCAAAAATTGAATTATTGGGGTTCTTTGATATACCGAATCTAACCGTGTATTTAGATTCTTAATTTTTGGTTCTGTTTTCAAATTGGTCTACATAAAGGTCCAAAGGGTCCAAAATTAAACTTAGTTTGATTTCAAAAAAAATTGAATATATGGGGTTCTTTGATATGCTGAATCTAACCATGTATTTAGATTTTTGATTATGGGCCCAGTTTTCAAGTTGGCCCAAATCGGGGTCCAAAATTAAACTTTGTTTGATTTCAACAAAAATTGAATATATGGGGTTCTGTAATATGCTGAATCTAACCGTGTATTAAGTTTTTGATTTTTGGGCCCTGTTTTGAAATTGGTCCACATTGAAGTCCAAAGGGTCCAAAATTTAACTTTGTTTGATTTCAACAAAAATTGAATTCTTGGGGTTCTTTGATATGCCGAATCTAACCGTGTATTTAGATTCTTAATTTTTGGTTCCGTTTTCAAATTGGTCTACATAAAGGTCCAAAGGGTCCAAAATTAAACTTAGTTTGATTTTAACAAAAATTGAATTTTTAGGGTTCTTTGATATGCTGAATCTAACCATGTATTTAGATTTTTGATTATGGGCCCAGTTTTCAAGTTGGTCCAAATCGGGGTCCAAAATTAAACTTTGTTTGATTTCAACAAAAATTGAATATATGGGGTTCTTTGATATGCTGAATCTAACCATGTATTTAGATTTTTGATTATGGGCCCAGTTTTCAAGTTGGTCCAAATCGGGGTCCAAAATTAAACTTTGTTTGATTTCAACAAAAATTGAATATATGGGGTTCTTTGATATGCTGAATCTAACCATGTATTTAGATTTTTGATTGTTGGGCCCCGTTATCAACTTTGTCCACATTGAGATCAAAAGGGTCCAAAATTAAACTTTGTTTGATTTCATCAAAAATTGAATATATGGGGTTCTTTGATATGCTGAATCTAACCATGTATTTAGATTTTTGATTATGGGCCCAGTTTTCAAGTTGGTCCAAATCGGGGTCCAAAATTAAACTTTGTTTGATTTCAACAAAAATTGAATATATGGGGTTCTTTGATATGCTGAATCTAACCATGTATTTAGATTTTTGATTATGGGCCCAGTTTTCAAGTTGGTCCAAATCGGGGTCCAAAATTAAACTTTGTTTGATTTCAACAAAAATTGAATATATGGGGTTCTGTAATATGCTGAATCTAACCGTGTATTAAGTTTTTGGATTTTGGGCCCCGTTTTCAAATTGGTCCACATTGAAGTCCAAAGGGTCCAAAATTTAACTTTGTTTGATTTCATCAAAAATTGAATTATTGGGGTTCTTTGATATGCCGAATCTAACCGTGTATTTAGATTCTTAATTTTTGGTTCTGTTTTCAAATTGGTCTACATAAAGGTCCAAAGGGTCCAAAATTAAACTTAGTTTGATTTCAACAAAAATTGAATTTTTAGGGTTCTTTGATATGCTGAATCTAAACATGTATTTAGATTTTTGATTATGGGCCCAGTTTTCAAGTTGGTCCAAATCGGGGTCCAAAATTAAACTTTGTTTGATTTCAACAAAAATTGAATATATGGGGTTCTTTGATATGCTGAATCTAACCATGTATTTAGATTTTTGATTTTTGGGCCCTGTTATCATTTTTGTCCACATTGAGATCAAAAGGGTCCAAAATTAAACTTTGTTTGATTTCATCAAAAATTGAATTCTTGGGGTTCTTTGATATGCTGAATCTAACCATGTATTTAGATTTTGGATATTGGACCATAATAGGTGAATGTCCAATTTAAAATTTTAAGTTCTTAGACCACATTCATTCTGTGTCAGAAACCTATGCTGTGTCAAATATTTAATCACAATCCAAATTCAGAGCTGTATCAAGCTTGAATGTTGTGTCCATACTTGCCCCAACTGTTCAGGGTTCGACCTCTGCGGTCGTATCAAGCTGCGCCCTGCGGAGCATTTTATTTTTAGTTAAATTTATTCAGATTGGTCCACTACATCTTTAGTGAAAGTATGAAAAAAAGTTTAATTGTGAAACTGTGATTTTTTTCATTATCATAGCCCAAAAATGGGTAAAAATTGATGAAAAATTAGAAAATCATCAAAATAGGGCACTTTCAAATGGCCGTTGCAAAAAAAAAAGTGCACCACCATATGATTTTTTCTTCAATAATTTTTTTATAGTCATATAAACCCAAAAATCAGGTTAAGAAAAAAAGTTTAATTCTAGAAATTTTTGGCTCCTCAGAGGTGTACATCCTTAAGATCATTTTAAAAAATATTTGAACACCATTAAGATACTTCATTATTTGCATAGAGTTGTTAAGGTCGTCAAGGTTGTTCAGATGGCTTTATAGTTTATATCTTGGTGTTTCAATGTTAAGTATCCATTTTTAGCTCACCTGGCCCGAAGGGCCAAGTGAGCTTTTCTCATCACTTGGCGTCCGTCGTCCGGCGTCGTCCGTCGTCGGCGTAAACTTTTTACATTTTGAACTTCTTCTAGAGAACCACTGAATGGAATGAAACCAAACATGGCATGAATGTTCCTTATGAGGTGCTGACCAAGTGTTGTTACTTTGTAGCGGATCCATCATCCAAGATGGCCGCCAGCGGGGGACTTAGTTTAACATAGGACCCTATGGGAAATACATACAAATGTCTTCTTTTAGTGAACCACTGAATGGAATGAAACCAAACATGACATGAATGTTTCTTATGAGGTGCTGACCGAGTGTTGTTACTTTGAAGCCGATCCATAATCCAAGATGGCCGCCAGCGGGGGACTTAGTTTAACATAGGACCCTATGGGAAATACATACAAATGTTTTCTTTTAGAGAACCACTGAATGGAATGAAACCAAACATGGTATGAATGTTCCTTATGAGATGCTGACCGAGTGTTGTTACTTTGAAGCCGATCCATAATCCAAGATGGCCGCCAGCGGGGGACTTAGTTTGACATAGGACCCTATGGGAAATACATACAAATGTCTTCTTTTAGAGAACCACTGAATGGAATGAAACCAAACATAGTATGAATGTTCCTTATGAGGTGCTGACCGAATGTTGTTACTTTGATGCAGATCCATATTCCAAGATGGCCGCCAGCGGGGGACTTAGTTTAACATGGGACCCTATGGAAATACATACAAATGTCTTCTATTAGAGATCCACTGAATGGAATGAAACCAAACATGGTATGAATGTTCGTTATGAGGTGCTGACCGAGTGTTGTTACTTTGAAGTCGATCCATAATCCAAGATGCCACCAGCGGGGGACTTAGTTTAACATTGGACCCTATGGGAAATACATACAAATGTCTTCTTTTAGAGAACCACTGAATGGAATGAAACCAAACATGGCATGAATGTTCCTTATGAGGTGCTGACCAAGTGTTGTTACTATGAAGCTGATCCATAATCCAAGATGGCCGCCAGCAGGGGACTTAGTTTAACATTGGACCCTAAGGGAAATACATACAAATGTCTTCTTTTAGAGAACCACTAAATGGAATGAAACCAAATATGGCATGAATGTTTCTTATGAGGTGCTGACCGAGTGTTGTTACTTTGAAGCCGATCCATAATCCAAGATGGCTGCCAGCGGGGGACTTAGTTTAACATTGGACCCTACGAGAAATACATACAAATGTCTTCTTTTAGAGAACCACTAAATGGAATGAAACCAAACATGGCATGAATGTTCCTTATGAGGTGCTGACCAAGTGTTGTTACTATGAAGCTGATCCATAATCCAAGATGGCCGCCAGCAGGGGACTTAGTTTAACATTGGACCCTAAGGGAAATACATACAAATGTCTTCTTTTAGAGAACCACTAAATGGAATGAAACCAAATATGGCATGAATGTTTCTTATGAGGTGCTGACCGAGTGTTGTTACTTTGAAGCCGATCCATAATCCAAGATGGCCGCCAGCGGGGACTTTGTTTAACATTGGACCCTATGGGAAATACATACAAACGTCTTCTTTTAGAGAACCACCGAATGGAATGAAACCAAACATGGCAAGAATGTTCCTTATGAGGTGCTGACCAAATGTTGTTACTTTGAAGCTGATCCATCATCCAAGATGGCCGCCAGCGGGGGACTTAGTTTAACATAGGACCCTATGGGAAATACATACAAATGTCTTCTTTTAGAGAACCACTGAATGCAATGAAACCAAACATGGCATGAATGTTCCTTATGAGGTGCTGACCAAGTGTTGTTACTATGATGCCGATCCATAATCTAAGATGGCCGCCAGTGGAGGACTTAGTTTAACGTAGGACCCTATGAGAAATATGTACAAATGTTTTCTTTTAGAGAACCATTGAATGGAATGAAACCAAACATGGCATGCATGTTTCTTTTGAGGTGCTGACCAAGTGTTGTTACTTTGAAGCTGATCCTTCATCCATGATGGCTGCCAGATGGGGACAATGTTTAACAAAGGACCCTATGGACAATACATACAAATGTCTTCTTTTAGAAAACCACATACTGAATGGATTGAAACCAAACATGGCATGAATGTTCCTTATGAGGTGCTGACTAAGTTTTGTTACTTTGAAGCTGATCCTTCATCCATGATAGCCGCCAATGGGGGGGACTTCCTTTAACATAAGAACCTATGGGAAATACATACAAATGCTACTTCTAGAGGTGCACTGAATGGAATGAAACCAAAACATGGCATAAATGTTTCTTATGAGGTGCTGATTAAGTGTTGCTACTTTGTTGCCGATTTACTGTTCAAGATGGCCACCAGGATTTTTTATTAAATTACAGGACCAATATTAAACCAAATTTGGCCTCACTCATTATTAGGGTATCTGTTATGATTTTAATCTATTTTTACATGATTTCCAAAACCAAAGTAGAATCAGGTGAGCGACACAGGCTCTTGAGAGCCTCTAGTTAATTGAAAGTTGCTCCAGTAAAACTTCTCAAAACCGGCCACCCGTCGGACCACGGAAAACGAACAGTTTGCGAGGGTGCTTGGTTTGTTGAAAATTGAAATCATCAAGAGTTACTTCACTTCAATATGTGACATTTACATTTACATTTTTAACTTCTTCTAGAGAACCACTGAATGGAATGAAACCAAACATGGCATAAATATTCCTTATGAGGTGCTGACCAAGTGTTGTTACTTTGTAGCCGATCCATCATCCAAAATGGCCACCAGCGGGGGACTTCGTTTAGCATAGGACCCTTTGGACAATACATACAAATGTCTTCTTTTAGAGAACCACTGAATGGAATGAATCCAAACATGGCATGAATGTTCCTTATGAATTGCTGACCAAGTGTTGTTATTTTAAAGCCTATCCATCTTCCAAAATGGCCGCCAGGGGGGGACTTCGTTTAACATAGGACCCTTTGGACAATACATTTGTACATACAAATGTCTTCTTTTAGAGAACCACTAAATGGAATGAAACCAAACATGGCATGAATGTTCCTTATGAGGTGCTGACCAAGTGTTGTTACTTTGAAGCCAATCCATCATCCAAGATGGCCGCCAGTGGGGGGGGACTTCGTTTAAACAAAGGACCCTATGGATAATACATACAAATGTCTTCTTTTAGAGAACCACTGAATGGAATGAATCCAAACATGGCATGAATGTTCCTTATGAATTGCTGACCAAGTGTTGTTATTTTGAAGCCGATCCATCATCCAAGATGGCCGCCAGAGAGGGACATAGTTTAACATAGGACCCTAAGGGAAATACATACAAATGTCTTCTTTAATAGAACCACTGAATGGAATGAAATAAAACGTGGCATGAATGTTCCTTATGAGGTGCTGACCAAGTGTTGTAACTTTGTAAGCCATCAGTCACCCAAGATGGCCGCCAGCGGGGACTTAGTTTAACATAGGACCCTATGGGAAATACATACAAATGTTTTCTTTTAGAGAACCACTGTATGGAATGAAACCAAACATGGCACGAATGTTCCTAATGAGGTGCTGACCAAGTGTTGTTACTTTGTAGCCAATCAATCATCCAAGATGGTTGCAAGCAGGGAACTTAGTTTAACTAAGGACCCTATGTGAAATACATACAAAAGTCTTCTTTTGAAGAACCACTGAATGGAATGAAACCAAACATGGCATGAATGTTCCTTATGAGGTGCTGACCAAGTGTTGTTACTTTGTAGCAAATTCATCAACCAAGATGGCTGCCAACGGGGGACTTAGTTTAACAAAGGACCCTAAGGGAAATATATACAAATGTCTTCTTCTAGAAAACCGCTTAATGGATTGAAACCAAACATAGTATGAATGTTTCTTTTGAGGTGCTGACCAAGTGTTGTTCAATGAATTTATTGGTAATTTCTGTAAACTTTACAAAAGTCTTCTGCTTTTGATTAAATTATGGGCCCAATATAAAACCAAATTTGGCCTCAATCATTATTAGGGTATATATTATGATTATAATATATTTTTACATGATTTCCAAAACCAAAGTAGAATCAAGTGAGCGACACAGGCTCTTGAGAGCCTATAGTTTCATTTTGAAGGAATAATAAATAAAAATACCATACATTAATGATATTTCTTTAATAATTTATCAAAATGTTCTAGAAGTATCATCAAACTGTTCAATGAATTATAATTATTATTTATCAATACCATGTGTATTAAATTTAATCTGTGAAAACATAATTAGCTTAGGTATTGAAGTAAATTTGACAGGTAAACAGAAGTCAGTCAGCAGGCAGGTGTCTGATTGACCGGATTATTTTCTATGTTTACATAACAATTATATTTACCGATCAATCGGTGATTTCAGATGACAAAGCTGGTTTTATAAGTTTAAATTTTATTGATTTTGATTAACTAAATACAAAAATACCGGCAGGTATCTGGTTTAAAGGGATGGCTGGTTTTATAAGGTTACATGACCATTTAATTGAAAACAAATCAGCCGGTACTTCTTGATTTGGCCGGTATGAGGGGAGAACCGGTATTCAGAGGGACTGGTTTAGAGAAGTTTCACTGTATTTTAAAAATGAAAATGCAGTTAATTTTCATAAATTTTGATTTATCCTTTGTTTTAATGTTTACAGGCACACATGGGTAATATGGATAAACCTGGAGAAAAATGGAAAATGATAGGTGGTAATATGGCTCTTGTACAGGTTAGATATTTTCATTTTTGATATTATGAAGTCACAAATTTACAGGGTATTCAACCACTACAGAGAGAAACGGTGCAAAAGCAAATGTAAAATGATAAACTTATAAAAGTTCAAAATAGTAATTGCAATTCAGGCAGAGTATATAAACTTCTAATCAAAGAAAATAAAATTATAAAAGGCACAGGTTTTTCAACTTATTCATTTGAAGAATCCCTGTAGAGTTTTAATTGCACAAAAAGATTTTTACTCTGTTGATCATATTGTTATTTCAAACACTGGGATGTACAATAGGCAGCCATCATTCAATCAATCAGCACATTTTACTTGTTTAAAATATTGAATGAATAAGAAACACATCAGGTGTTAAAGATATAAAATGTCTGCTCCCCTGTACCAAAAAAGGTGCAATAAATACCAGCACATACAAAAAATGACGGATAAAACATTGAACTCTAAAACAACTGTATAATAGGTAACAAAAACATAAATATATAACAAATTATACAGTATTAAAGAATACTTGCATAGACTTCTTTCTCTTTTTTGGTAAATTATCATTATTGATCTAACATTTTAGTGAATCTTTTATATTAAGTCTAATCTTTTCAGATTTATCCTATGTTTTATTGTTTTCTTTATATATTAAGATTGACAAATTTGAATTATCTTTTTTCTTCAGGCACAGGCAATAGTTGTAGGATTTTTAGCATCACTGGTTGCCATGGTGATGGGATGGATACCAGATGGCGAATTTAATTTACATCACGCCCTGTTGTTATGTGCCAGTAGTATGCTTACAGCAGCTGTAGCTAGCTTTGTGTTAGGTTGGTTGTTTGAATTAAAGTAGATATGAGGTAAAGTCATTGAGACAATAATCCAACAATAAAAAGAGTACTTATCTGCTGTTAAGGGAAATTAACAGGAGATAAACATTTTCTATGATAGATTACTGGCTTTAATCTGATGTTCCAAAGGTAGTGTGAAAGGAAATTGATGAAGCATTGTTTAGGAAGGTCATGTCTGCATTACCACAGGCTTAACCTTTATGAACCATTGAACTGTATCTCAAAATAAATATATGAAAACAAATAATAAAGTATTAAAAGAAAAACTGCACCTGATTGATGTACATTTTAAGTTCCAAAAATTACTTCCCTTTTTGGCTATAAGTCGTGTTTTATTTGAGTAATGTCAGTCATCATCAAAATTGGAATATTAGCTGAACAGTTTGCACTGTATTTGGTTTTTAGAATGAATGTCAGGTGTATATGTCTGTCTGAGAGTGTCATCTGATCTTGCCCTCATTTTCATGGTTAAGTCTGTTTGTTAGATACAATAAGCAAAAGGTCCACTATATTTGGTGTATGGAATAATTGCAAGGTGTACATGTCTGTATGGCAGGGTTCGTATGACTTTGACCTCATTTTCATGGTTTATTGGTCAATGTAAAGTTTTGTGGTTAGGTCTTTAACAGATACTATAACTAGTAGGTGAGATATATTTGATGTATAGAATGATTATTAGGTGTACATGTCTGTCTGGCAGGGTTTATTTAACCTTGACCTCATTTACATGGAACATTGATAATATTAAGGGATATAAGATACTTGCATTAAACCTTTATCTTGAAGACTTTCAACATAAATGTAATCTTGATAAGTTAAGCAGGTGAGAGATGTCAACATATGAACTCTTGTTTAGTTTATGAATTGAGGGTTTGTGTATAATAAAATCAATGAAAATATATCAAGTATTGTGAATTTTGTAGTCCACAGGAACTTTGAAATCCATAATATTGACATCTTACTTTCACAATTTAAAAATCAAATCTTTTTTAATAAGGTAAAAAAGGTAGAATCTAACTGTACAAGACTTAGTGTAGATACAAGTTTCATAAAAAAAAAATGAGAGATAAATGAGCATGAAAATCCTAAAATAACATTTATACAAAAAAGTTACATGAATGTTTGTTCGTAGTTCATTTGGATAAATGTCTATGAAAATATTTGCTTTAAATGAGGTTGACTTACAGTTTTAGCACTTAAAATTCACTGGTACATTTGTATCAACAGTTTTCACAAATATATTCCAAGCTTCTAAGTAAGGTAGATTATCTGTATCATATGGATGCTTAAAAGATGCTTAAACACATTTATGAAACTATTACAAACACATTACTGATTTAATGAATTACCTCCCTTTAACCTGGTTTACTCTGTTAATGTCATAAGTTATTTGCTTACCTTATAAACAATATTGTTAAAAAATTTTCTTTTATTTTCTAGGTGCTGTGATGGTTATTGTTGTTTTGCTTTCTAGGAAATTTCATATTAATCCAGACAATGTGGCGACACCTATTGCTGCTAGTCTAGGGGACTTAACTACGCTGTCATTACTTTCAGGTGTTAGCTCTCTATTATTTAATGCAATAGGTAATATTTGTTTTATCTATACACATACCTATATTGGCCTTAAAGATATGAAGATAGTTTTTCAATATTAATTCCTACAAACCAAGATCTAATGATGCTTAAACTGGCTTGGTCTCTGAAAATGATTTTTTCTGTTTTTAATTTGAGGAAGCTAAATCCATGCTTATAGAAAGTGTCTGGTGAATTTGAAAAAGATATACAAAATAAATCTTAGAAATTTTCAATGATTAATTGTGAGTTTCAGCATGCCAGCATTACTTACTGTGTCTTATCTATCAGATTCAACATTATACACTGGATGTAAAGCAAACAACAATCAATCAATCAATCAATCAACATGTACATTGAATACAATCAATACAAAAGATCTGTTCTGTATGGTATTTTATAAGTGAAAACAATAGGAAATGAAGTATATCTTAATCTTTATTCTGTACAAAGTCTTGTATAATCCGTATGTCTAGATATTGCTAAAGAAATAAAAGCAAGGCCATATTCATTCTTTAGTAAATACTGTCAAATTTATTTATCACTTTAATGTTTGAAGGGCCTTTAGCTTAAATTAAACACTGACAGCAGTCTGAAACACCAAATATCAACATATAACCAATTACATTTAGTAATTTATACATTGTTTTGCAGTGCTATGTAAATTTGTAATGAAGCATTATATTTTGATATTTAGCAGTAAATATTGGATTATACCATATGACAGTATGTAAATATACATGTACAAATTTTCATTGATAAAGTTAAACCACAAATTAAAATGTTCAACAAAGTATCAATTTTATAAAGGCTTGTATGCAGACTTTGGCAAATCTAAGAAATCAAATATGTACGAAATGTACAACTTTTCCTCAATCCACAAAAATTGGTACCTGCAGAAATAAATGAATCCACAGTATTACATCTTAAAATATTAAATTTATTGTATTTTCAGGTAAACAACATTGGTTGGCACCATCAATAATAGTTTTATTTCTAGCTTTAGCACCAATATGGATATATATATCTTTAAAAAATAAATATTCTAATGAAGCAATACGAGAAGGGTGGACTCCAGTTTTGAGCGCAATGGTGATAAGTAGGTAAGGTTAATATTCAGGACACTAATCAATTTAGAACATGGACTATAGTTTCTGGCTACTTTGGTTTTTTATAACTCTTAGAGCCTAGATTTTGTATCAAATAGATTATACTAGATAAATCAGAACTTTTTTATTTTGGCACATGGTATAGACCTGTATAGACCACAGTCTATAAATACACATGCTTTGGAAAGTATTGCTCTTTATACTTTAATTATATGTGGCAACACGCATTATGTCAGCAATCCAACACAGATATGTGTGTAGAAAGTAAACAGACATTATTATTTTTTTCAGTTTGTCGGTATGTTGCTTTGAAGTCATCTAACTTAAAACACCCCTGAAAAGGAAAAAGTTATGAATGAAAGGGAGATAATTGATTTTTATGCTCCCGCCATAGCGGAGGGGGCATTAAGTTTTACCCTTGTCCGTCTGTACGTCCATCTGTTGGTATGTACGTCCCGAAATTTGTTTACTTTCTCCAACTTAAGTTTGCCTCGACTAAATGTTATGAATCTCATTCACAATGCTTATTACCACAAAACTCAGATCAAGTACAACTTTTGATAGCGTCACTTTTACCGTTCTCGGGTTATGTCCCTTTATAAGGTTAAATGCAAGAGGGGGCATCATCTGTGTCCCATAGACACATTCCCTATTTATTTATGTAGTATTAAAATTGTCAGCTTTTTTCAGTTAAATTGCTTGTTTATTATTAGCAATACTGTATTCTCAAAACTATACACTAGTTTTGAGATAGGCAGTGAAAGATATGAACTACATGAACAAGTATATTAACTTTTTGTGATTGTTAAAAATATAAGGGAAAAAAATATATTTTTGTATTTTCTAAATGAATCAAAGGTATGGGGTATACATCAATTACACAGCAACCCAAAGACACTAAAAGCTCATCCAGATGTCAACATGCAATCTTTAACAAATGACCAGTTACTATACCAAACATTTGAAATAAATAGATGTATATCAATCAGAGACATACATAGTAGTATCCCAAATCAACTGTCATAAACTTTAACCTTGACAAGAAGACTTATACTGATTTTTTTTCAATAAGATTTTTGAATTTTTGTATTGAGTATAACCTGTCATACAATTTATATTGAACATAGATTCGGGATGAATAATTTAATATTTTTTTAATTAATGAATAGTTCACAATTAATACAGTTGTATTTGTTACTCATATACTATCTTCAATAGCTATTACATTTGAAAAGATATTTATTGATAACTTGAATTCTGAGAAGAATAACATTTTTTTTAAGCTGAAAAGCAATATTAACATTATATATTTAATAAAGATTTTTTCTTTCAGTGTAGGTGGTCTGATATTAGATTTTACTGTAGGGAATTACCATGGTATTGCAGTTTTTCAGCCTGTGATAAATGGTAAGTCACTGTGTTGGATGTTTAAGTGTATTGGGTAAAGTATTGTGAGTGTATTTGGAGTTTCAGTAATTAGGTAAGATATTACAAGTGGATGTGGTGTTCCAATCATTAGGTAAGATATTACAAGTGGATGTGGTGTTCCAGTAATTAGGTAAGATATTACAAGTGGATATGGTGTTCCAATCATTAAGTCAGATATTACAAGTTGATGTGGTGTTCCAATGTGGTGTTCCAATGTGGTGTTCCAATCATTAGGTAAGATGTTACAAGTGGATGTTGTGTTCTAATCATTGGGTAAGATATTACAAGTGGATGTGATGTCCCAATCATTAGGTAAGATATTACAAGTGGATGTTGTGTTCTAATCATTGGGTAAGATATTACAAGTGGATGTTGTGTTCTAATCATTGGGTAAGATATTACAAGTGGATGTGGTGTTCCAATCACTAGGTAAGATATTACAAGTGAATGTGGTGTTCCAATCATTAGGTAAGATATTACAAGTGGATGTGGTGTCCAATCACTAGGTAAGATATTACATGTGGATGTGGTGTCCTATCCTCAGGTAAGATATTACAAGTGGATGTGGTGTTCTAATCATTGGGTAAGATATTACAAGTGGATGTCGTGTTTCAGTGTATTTGGTAAAATATACAGAGTAGATGTGGTGTCCCAGGTACTAGGTTTAATATCACGCGTGGAAGTGGTATTCCAGTGTATTAGACAAGTATTACAAATGGATATTATTTGATATTTTAAACCTGTGGTAAAGTCACTATGTGGAGTTCCTGTATAGCTGGGCTGCAAGGTATGTCCTTTATGTTTTAAAGTGTAGACAACATCCATGGCGGTGACAGTTTTCCTCTTGGTGCACTCTGTGTATGTGTCAGCATCACAGATGACATTTTCCACAGGGCAACAATATTTCAACATGTAATAAATAGTAATCTTTCTTGTCTTTGAGGTAGGTGATAATCATAATGTAGTGCATAAGTGGTATTTCTGTCTGTTATTCATCAAACATTATTTTGATCAATGGTGTTCCTGTGTAGGAGGTAGAAAATTTCTTGATTTTAGAAGTATTTAAATGTGTGAGAAGCTACGAATCCCAATGTGATGTTCGATTAAGAAAATAGCAATATTTCAACCTGTGAAAGTTGTAAAGAATTGAAAATCAAATAAAAAGGTATGTTACATTTGTTAGTTTTATTTATTGATAGTAATAGTTGTTTGCTCCATGTCTAGTGGCTGTCAGAAAAATTTTGTAACTCGTGTCTTTTCTTTGTTACATAAAGTTGAATCTCTTCATATCTCTTTTGTAATTACCAATATTATCCCTTCATTTTCATGATGTGAACAACATTCACTCAGTGTTGAAGAGCATTTCTGGAAAAAAACTATAAAAAGAAATTGAATGACAATGGATGATTTTAAGATAATAGTATTTATTGATTATTACATTTCAGGGGTGGGAGGAAATTTAGTAGCAGTTCAAGCTAGTCGTATTACTACATTATTACATTTACAAAAGAGAAAAGGAATAGTGGAAGATGTCAAAGGTTGTCCTAATGTATTTGGAACATTTTGTAAATCAAGTAAGTTTACATTTCTAATCATTATTAAACTTAAGATAACGAAATGTTCTGCAAAAATCTAAGCAGTTTGATTTGAGACAGATAAGTTAAAACAGACAACATAATTATAGTCAGCATGATTGATAGTTATTTTGATGAAATAAATTTTTGGAAAGTTACAAGAGAAATAAGGACTGTACTTGATACAACTGTCTCATGAAATAAAGAAAAAAAATAGTAATATTGCTGTTTTCCATCTTGCAGTCACTTAATGAAATAACTTTAAATATGATTTGACTTATTGTGAAGTCAGTGGCAAGAACCTGGCATTACTAAGTTTAGCAAAATTAGACCTCTAAAATGAACTTATTCAGAACTAAATGGCCAGCTCTTAATCTCATCGAGATGAGGTAACTGTTAACAAATTAAACAAAGACTACCAAAGTTTTTAAATCAGCATATTATTTTATATTAAAAAAAAATTGATAGAGACAACCTCTTGTTGGATTTCAGGTCATAGAGAAGTGCCCAAACATTTGGATGGAACAATAAAAATATAAGAGATGTGATTACCAATGAGACAACTATCCATCAGAGACAAAAGGGCAAGGGTGCAAATAACTTTAGGTCACTACACAGTGTATTCACCATTCAACTCCCTTTTCTTTCCCAATATTGTTGGGTTTTTTTTGTTATTTGTTGATATACTGATCATCTGTGTGCTTAAATGGACAGAAGCAGTATCATTAACATCTACCATCGAATTCTGATCGAACACTGGCTCATGGTTGTTTGAATTTGAAGTGAGGTGTGAGTTTAAGCTCTTTGTTGAAGGCCTCACTATGACTTTTTTACTACACATTTTTTATACACATGAATGAAAGGACATGTAGAGTATACATCAATGGGACTATTTATTAACTCTATAAAACCAGTATTATTGTAACAAAAATGCACCAAAAATTACACTCAAATTTCTTGTTAAACCATTATATTTAATAAATGGGAAAATATCTGAAAAATATACCCCTGATTACATGTTGGTTATCTATGTAGGAGCATTTGTTTGCTATTTGGTTAATAAGAACATTGTACCTGCAACTCTTTCTAAACCATTAATGTATTTCATTGAGTCTGTCAGCTCATTGCAAGTACATAATGACATAGTGCACTAGTTTTAGGTTTTGATTCAAATGATTTTGAGGATTCTCCCATAACAAAGCATGGACTTGGCCATATCTACAAAAGAAAATCAAATCCTTCTTATAAACCACTCATTAGATTTCAAATTAAATTTACACAGAATCTTGTTTTATTTTGTGGAGGCCTGAATGGTTTTTGGGATAGATTGCTCAGTCAAGCAATCTGTAGACTTTTACCATTGACTCCTTTCTAAGGCTCTCACGTCGACCGTTTTGTGCTTTACATTAAGGAACAACTCAGATTAGTAAGATTGTTCTGTTTTAAAGAGTAAAACAAACAAACAGATTAAATTTAAACAAATTTCCGTTAATTTTCTGCTCATAATCCTCATGATTTGATATTTCCATTTTTTTTTTGCATTTATTTTACAATACGGAAAATCAGTATTAAGCAGTATCTATATTTAGGCTTTTATATATTTAGCATCACGTCAAAGCTGGAATTCCGTTGTTTTGTTAAAATGGTAGAGTGGTTCTGAAATGAAACTATTTCCGTCAGATAAGTACTGAACTGGAGTTGTTCCTATTATGAAACTTTGATATTGAACTTCCAAAAGAAATGAAGAACCACAATTGACATGTTGTCCTCAATCAAAACATAATTCTAACGCTTTGTTTCTGTAAATAAGCGCATGCGTAGTTTTCTTGACCTTGAAGGACAACAGACTAAATGGTTGCTCTGGATTCCCCACTCTATTGATTGATTTGCAACTCAAAAGATCTTTTCTGTTTTTTTTATCCCCTAGTTAAGGTTATTGTTGTTGCATCATTTTGAATAATGTGCAACATTTAACTCTAAAAATGTAGGAAACAGTTTAATGGTAGAAGTAGAAGTAGAACACCCCCTCAGCCCAAATGGAGTCTTCCATATTATCAACGCTATTAAGAAACTACTTGCGACTTGTTGCTCTCTGTTGATCAAATGTTTTTAAAAAGTCAAATTCATTAAACGTGTTTTAATATGTCCGTCCGTCCTTAACAAATTGTGTCCGCTCTATATCTTGAGAACCGTTATGATTTCAAAGTTTATACTTGACATGTATATTAACCAACACCAGAGGGTGTGTCATAATGTATGTACAACTTTCTAGGTCAAAGGTCAAGGTCAAAAACTTTGGTTTTAGTTGACAACCCCATGTCCTGTGGTAAAGATCGTGTCCGCTCTATATCTTGAGAACCGTTATGGTTTCAAAGTTTATACTTGACATGTATATAAACCAACACCAGAGGGTGTGTCATAATGTATGTACAACTTCCTAGGTCAAAGGTCAAGGTCAAAAACTTTGGTTTTAGTTGACAACCCTATGTCCTATGGTAAAGATCGTGTCCGCTCTATATCTTGAGAACCGTTATGATTTCAAATTTTATACTTGACATGTATATTAACCAACACCAGAGGGTGTGTCATAATGTATGTACAACTTTCTAGGTCAAAAAATTTGGTTTTAGTTGACAACTCCATGTCCTATGGTAAAGATCCTGTCCGCTCTATATTTTGAGAACCGTTATGATTTCAAAGTTTATACTTGACATGTATATAAACCAACACCAGAGGGTGTGTCATACTGTATGTACAACTTCCTAAGTCAAAGGTCAAGGTCAGAAACTTTGGTTTTAGTAGACAACCCCATGTCCTGTGGTAAAGATCGTGTCCGCTCTATATCTTGAGAACCGTTATGATTTTAAAGTTTATACTTGACATGTATATAAACCAACACCAGAGGGTGTGTCATAATTTATGTACAACTTCCTAGGTCAAAGGTCAAGGTCATAAACTTAGGTTTCAGTTGACAACCCCATGTCCAATGATAAAGATACAAATTTTTTACCACACATTATTCACAGCGGGGCCCACAGAGATGGCTCCCATCTCAATGATATCTAGTATTGCATTCTTTTGAGATAGAAAAATTACGATTTTCAGGTAGTTATCATGCACACATTTCAATTTTGATGAAAATTGTAACATTTATTCATTAAAATATAACATTTAATCAGTTAGATAAAAGATAAAAAATAAATAAATGAAAAGGGGAGAATGTGGCAACACTGATTAAAATAAAGGAGTTTTCATTGTATTAAAGAAGGCGATTCATAGACATTTTGCATGAACTAATTTTTTTGCATCCACACCCATTTACATTGAAGTTATTTTAATGTAAACTAACACTGTAGGTAAAAATAGAATACTGAAATTAAAACGATAGTTTTTGGCTTAATTTACCAGTATATTATGGTCGGTAGGTGTTGACCTATCTTAAAATTTTCAGAACAGAAATTAAAATGTCAGCTTTTAGCAAATTTTACAGCTATTTTAATTGAAAACTATTTAAGATAGAAAATCACAAAAAAATACTTAAAATGACTTTAAACAACGATTTTTACCCAGTTTTTTTGTTAGCCTGGCCTACAGGGCAATAGTCTAGTTCTCTGAAATTACTGGGCAAATTGAAACCAAAACTTTTCATTCTTATGATAAATGAATAAAAAAAAAACATCTGAAGGGACATAAATACACTATGATATAGAATAAAGAGCACTTTTGAATAAAAATTTGATTTTTGCTTTTTTGCTTGAAATGTTATTCTAATTTTATTGTATCAATTTTACGCAAACATACCAGGTGAATCATACAGCACCTTGGGCTCTCGGATAGAAGGTTATTTAGCATATTTTAAGTTATTTGAATTGAAAACTTTTATAGATAGATGGAAAATTTAATGGTAAAAATTTCCAATAAGAGTAATTAATCAACATGACCGAAATTGTCTGTTGACTCAATATAGGCGTTATGCCCTTAACTGACGACTGTTACTGGTTTTTAAGTCTAATTACAGGTAATCTTGAAACTGCAATTAATCGAGAAAAACTTTATACAAAAAATTACTTAGCCAGACAAGTAATACAAGAAAGTCAAATCTGGCATGAATCCTCAGTCAACTCTCCCCTTTCTAAGGATGATTGTATCCTTTGTGTTTTGCTAAAACTTATGGTTGATAAAGAGAAACTGTACACAGCTAAAACAATCAGCGAAAACAAGATGTTGAAAATCTATAAAACACAGAAAGAATTCAAACTTTAAACATCCAAGTAAATCAGCTATATAAGATCTACAGACATGTCAACACGATCAAAATCAGTTTGTGTACTCCTTAAGCGAGTTGTTGCCTTCAGTGACAATTTTCTCAGATTTCAGTGTTTTTAAAGAAAGCAATATTAGATAGAGTAAATTATAATAAGCAACAATGTTCAACAAGGTAAGATCTACAAATAAGTCAATTGACAATTGGCACATATTGCCATTCAAAGTCATTGTTTGCCTACTTTTGTCTTGTAAAAGAGTATCCATAACAAGTAAGAATAGGCAGAATTAAGATCTTTTAATTAATTATCATATTAATTAGAATCGACACATTATTGAAGTTTTTGCTTTCATTTAGAATAACAATATTTCTTTAATTTTGAAAAATGACATTGATTCAATACTAACAGAGCAGGTTAAATTTTACTCCGAGTTAATTAGCACTGAGGGTTGGGGGGAAAATAGCGCAGAAAAACTTATTGGATGTATTGACAGGAAACTGACAGACGATGATAGACAAAATATAGAACGACAAATTGATGTCGATGAATTAACAAAGATAGTTAAAATCTTTAGAAAGATAAGTCTCGGGGAAGGGATGGGATTATATCAATATTTTATCAAATGTACTGGGACCTTATCAAAACAGATTTCACTGAAGCATTTGACGAAAATGAACTCAGTAAATCCAGGGAATGTTAACTTTACAACATAAGGGAGGGGAACAAGAATTAATT